CTGCTATAATAACAACTGCTTAATATACTTCTTGAATAAGAAAGACTTAGAATAGTTCCCTTAGAAACTTAAGCATTACAAGCAGATAGCAATAGCAGAGCAAGAGTATATGCTCAGCACAATTATGAGCAGCAACAACTTGAACTGCTCTAATATTACTGAATAGAGCATTTAAGCATTGAAGGAAGAGCTTAGCAATAATATTCTTTATTATTTCTCATCATCTATGCTAAATATCATAATTAGAGATATAAATAAGAAATGATATTCTCTTAGCTATTAGTACAAATATCTAAACAATATTAGAAATATCTCTTAAGCAATAGAAGAATCAAGCTAGAATAAATAATCTAGCAATCTATCAGAGTCTTCCGTGAATAATGAATCCGATAGCTTTATAGAAGTTCAGAAAGGAAGATTTCTCTTCAGCATTGAATAGAATAAGAAAACAATATGAATTGAATATCTCATCTATGAAATAGAACTAGAAAAGCTCTTTATCAGCATTCTCTTGCAGAATATCGAAGCATAACAAGGCAAGAATCCTCGAATCAGCTTACTTTACAATCTATATTATAAGCTAGCATAGATCTCTTATGCTTATTACAGCTGCAGAATGCATTTCTCGAACAAGATGTAGCATAAATAGTTTTCCATTAGAAAAGCAAAACAAATCCTTCAAACTGTTAAGAAATAAGAACTTCGCTTCAGAGAAATCTTTAACAGATAGCATAATAATGCATATATTAAGCTATTAGATAACTGTTCTAAGCAATGCATAAATAAGAAGATAAAGTGATAGCAATGCAAGATAATGCTCTATATGATTCATATTAATGATAAAGTCTATAACTAGCATTAACAAAGAAAAGATCAGAAATAATAACAATATAAGCAAAAGCAAGCTAGAAAGCTTGCTCAAGAAGCAGCAAAGCAAGCTTAGAAGAGCAAGCAGCTCTCAGCAATCCCAAAAAGCTAGAATTGCCTGTAAAGGAACTACAGATAATTAGACTGGAACAGTTTCTATATAGAGTTTTTAAAATAAATTATATTTATATCAAGCTTAATATATATATTTAAGAATATAAATATAGCATACTATTAAATAATAACGCTTAGAGAAATTTCATATTCCTATATATTATGAATCAGGCACAACTACAGTAGAAATGAAAGAAGCAGCTATATACTCTCAGCATCATAGAAGAATAATCTATTGTATATAATCAAGAAGTAATCAATAAGAAAACTAATTATCTACTCATCTTGATTCAAGAATATATAACCAAGATTTCCTTTAACATTACAAATATAATACAATATAAGCTAATTATAAAGCTTTTATAGCTCAAGAAGTATAATTCTCGAATCAATTGAACTACTAGCTAGATCTTATAAGAATAAGCTATACTCAGAGAGATAATTGCAATTAATAATACAGAATAGAAGTTAGTTATTGAAGAATACTTAGAAAAAGAAGCTTTAAACGATTTTACAGATATCTTCAAGCTAGCAGAGCTAGCAGCTTAAGAATAAAGACTTAGTAATAAGCAAACCCAAATAGTGCTAGAATGCTAACAGATTAGCAAAATAACAGAAGTAAGATTCTTAGCAAGTTAGTTCGCTCCGGAATAACAAGGAAAAGCTTCAGAATATGAATTGTAAATCCATACAAGAAAAACCTCGAAATCAGACTCTCAAGCGCTCAATCCAGCTCAGAGCGGATGCTCAAAGCTTCCAAAAACGCTTTCAAAAGCGCTATCAAAAACAATAAACGAAAAAAAGCATGCTTAACAATATCTACTATTCCTCCAGATAGCAGAAACAGCATATAAATTAGAATCAATACTTGCAAGCATATTACAGAAATATTATAAATTCAAGAAATTATTCCAGAAGGAACTGAATACAGAATTATTAGAATACAGCTTATATAATTACAAGATTCTACTACAAGAAGAAAAATAGCTTAAGTTCTTCTCTATCTATAAACTAAATAAAGTATAACTAGAAATACTTAGAAAGTATTTTAATAAGAACTTTAAAAAGGAATATATATAATTATTGCAATTATTAGCAGAATACTTCATTCTATTTATATTTAAAAAAAATAATAAGCTTAAATTATATATTAATTATAAGTAATTTAATAATATTACAATTAAGAACTAATATTTATTACTACTTATTAAGAAATTATAAGATAGATTGTAAGAAGTATAGTAATTTATAGCTCTAGATCTGAAAGAAGCTTATAATCTAATCAGAATAAAGAAAGAAAAAGAATGAAAGACTGCTTTCAGAATATATTACAGATATTACAAATATTTGATTATATTCTTCAGTTTAATGAATGCTTTAGCTTTATTTCAAAAAATAATTAATTATATTCTATATAAGCATCTGAATTAGTTTATTATTATCTATTTTAATAATATTCTTATTTACTCTTGAATACTGAAGAAATATAAGGAATATATGGAAATAGTATTGCAAATGCTTCAAAATACGAAACTTCTTATAGAATTCGCAAAGAGTTACTTTTATATATAGAAAATTAATTATCTCGAATTCATAATTAAGCTAGAATGCATCAAGCTACAGAAAGATAAGATAGAAGCTATTAGAAACTAGCTAATTCCTAGGAATATTAGAAATATTAGATCTTTTCTTAGATATATTAATTTCTACAGATAGTTTATTAAGAACTATAGTTAGATTACATATTCTCTTACAAATCTTATTAAGAAGAAGCAGCTTTTCGAATGAATTATTAAAAAGCAAGAAGCTTTTGATAAGATTATCAGGCATATTACATTAGAGCTAATTCTGTATGAAGCAGATTCCTACAAACTCTTTGAAGTTGAAACTGATGCATTGAGATATATACTCGGGGGATAACTTGATTAACGAAACAACTAAGAGCATCTAAAGATTGTAAGCAATTTTTCAAAAAAGTTGAATAGCTTAGAAGTTAACTATAAAATCTCTAATTAGGAACTTATAGCAATAGTAAAAGCTTTCAAGGAATAGCAATACTATCTTATCAGTATATAATACTCGATTATAGTTTACTCAGATCATAAGAATCTGATTATATTCATAATAATCAAAATCTTGAATAAGCAATAAGTTAAATAAGCAGAATTCTTCTTATAATTTGATTTTAGAATTATATACTGCAAAAGCTTAGAAAATGAATAAGCAGATGCTCTTAGCAGAAAATTAGACTATTAAAATGCAGATTTCTCGAATATACAGAACATCTTTATTCAAGATAAGTTAGAAAATCTTATTAATATATATAAAGAGCTAAATGCTATCTTTAGAATTGAATTCTTAGAAAAAAATCTAAAATTAATAACTTTAGATAAATAAGATAATTATATCAAGAATATATATAATATACTAATATATGAATATTAGAAAGTTAAAGCAATCTATGAATATATTAGAAAATATTAAAACTTATTAAGCTTTAGAAGAAGAATTGAGAATATCTTATAATAATGTAATAGCTATAAGAAGAATAAAGCAGAAAGATATAAGCTTTATAAATTACTGCACTTCTTACTAATACTTATAACTATTTAGCAATTCATTAATCTAAACTTCATTATCAAGCTATTTCTCTTATGAGAATCCTTAACTAAAGTGCAATATAATAGCATTCTAGTAATAATTTGCAAACTAAGCAAGTATGCTTACTTTCTCTTCTATAAGGAAAGCAGTATAGCAGAGAAACTTGTATATACATTTCTCAGAATAATTATTGCTAATTACAGCATGCTAGAAGAAGTAATCTCTAACAGAAATAGAAAGTTTAATTCAAAATTTTGAACTTTGCTTATAAAACAGCTTAAAATATACTATAGAATATCTATAGCATTTTACTTATAAATAGATAAACAGATGAAAAGAATAAATTAAATTATTAAATAATATCTTCGATATTATATTAATCAGAAATAGAATAATTGAATTAATCTATTACTTCTTATACAGTTTGCTTATAATAGCATAAATATAAGCATAATAAAGAAATTACTATTCTTTATATTCTATAGATATAATCTAATAGCTTATTACAAAGCATTGCTGAAAGCAAATGCAGAAGCTATAGATAAAAGGATTAAAAAGATTAAGAAAATTCAGAAAGAATTTCAGTTAGAATTACAATTTATTCAGAAATAAATAATATAATATGCAAACTCTAAAAGGATTGAAAAACTAATCCTATAGAAGAGAGATAAGATTTATCTACTTTGAAGAAATATTAAAATAATCAGATCTAGCAACAAACTCGATTACAAGAAGTTAGAACTATTTAAGATCTTGCAACAAATTTCTCTAGTTAATTACAAATTAGTATTATCTTATAAAATGAGAATATATTCAGTTTTTTACATTTTACTACTAGAATCAGTAGCATAGAAAATACTAATAGATAATATAGTAGAAGTGAAAAATAATAAGCTAGAATATAAGATAGAGAAGATTCTTAAGCATAGAAGCATAAATAATACAAGGAAATATCTTATCAAATAGAAAGATTATTCAGCAAGCAAAAATTCGTGGAAACTACAGAAAAATATCAAAAATGCTTAGGAAAAAGTAGCTGAGTACTGGAAAAGGAAAGAAATCAGCATCTAGAACAATTATTTCGCTCCAAACCAAGATTCAGAAGCTTTGGAAATCTTACTCTTTAGGAAATCCAACTAATCTACTACAGAATTCCTCAAATCTACAGAATTCCAATCAAAACTCTCAAAAGAAAAATTCTCAGCTACAACAGCAGATTCCTCAGCTACTATAGCCTGCATTTCAGCAGCAACACGCACTCTCTTAGCCTCAGCTTTCTTAGCTTTTATACAATCCAATTCCTTCATACAAGTAATATTACAATACAGAGTACATTTTATCTTCTCAAACTATATCCGCTTCTATTAATGCAAATAAAAAAGCTCAATTTCCCTCTTCTCAATTTCATCCTTCAACTTTCAATATTGGATAGCAATATTGCAAAGCTTCTCAGAGAAGGAATTCATAATGTTGCACTTAAAGCAATTCAGATGAATACATTTGATGCAGCAAGAAGAGTTTCTGGAAGATATCTTGCAGAATTCGAAACTGCGCTTTTTGCAATAGGAATAGATGAGCATTTCGATAAAGTTCTTCAAGAAGCGGGAAATCAGAAGATTTCGATCTTGGATACTTTTTGGAATAGAGAAAGGTTTGCAAATACAGGATTTGTTGATTCTGTTCGATATCTCAATCAGAAAAGCAAGATCATATATATAGAAGACTTGCTAGAATATTTATAGAAGATTGTTGAGAATAATAACTAATAGAAGAAAGATAATATTATAATCTATCCAATATACAGATTACAGAATAAGCCCTACTAACTAAGAAATCAGATATTATAATTCAATATTAAATACTAAGCAGAATTATATAATTCGGATTAGGATTGCTAGCACAACTATGTTAACTATGAATATAGTTAATATATTTGGAGAAATAATTATAAGGAATTGGAATATAGTTAGGATAGCTAGAACTGAAAAGCTAGATATATAAGAGCTTGTTTATTATCATTATATAGATTTAGTATATAGCTCTTCAGTTATTAATCTAAGTATTCAGTCTTATATACTAAGTAGCTTCAAAAGCAGTGAATACTTGCATTGCTTATTAGAACTTATATAGTTCTGTATTCAAGAACTTAATACTTTGATATTACTCTTATTAGCATAAATCTCTTTATATACTTTGGAATCTTCGAATTGCTGCAGTGCTCATTACAATATTCTATTTTTATTATCTAAAGAAATAATAAATATTATTAAATATTCTTTTTTTCTTATATTATATAAGAAATTATTATTTTTTTTTTATTTAATTATTATTTATTAATTTAAGCTAAAGCAATTTCTTAAAAATATAATTTTTATTTTTTATTCTAATTTATAATATATTATTTTAATATAAACTAATTATTTTATATTAATATTTATATTTTTATTTCTATAATTTATAAAAATTTTAATATAATAATAATATTCTTTTTATTAAATTTTTTTTCTTTTATTATTAGCTTTATTAATTTAAAAATATATATAAATTTATTTAAAGCTTTTTTTTTTAAATATTTTTTAATAATTAAATTTAATTCTATATTATTAATTATAATTATTCTATTAAATATAGCTTATTTTTAAGAAATTTAGCTAATAATTTAATTAATTTAAAAATTATATTATTTAAGCTAAAAAATATTTAAAATTAATTTATATTTTATTATATTTATAATATTAAAAATAATAAATATTATATAATCTTAAATTAAAATTAATAAATAATTAGTTTTTATATTAATTATATCTTAATTATATATAATAATTTATTTTTTTATAATAAGAAGATTATAGATTTTTTTTTTAATATTAATTAATATATATTTTATTAATAATTCTAAAAAATATAAAGTTTTTTTAAATATTGCTATTTAATAAAGCTTTATATTTATTTTTATAAATATAAATATTAAATTTTATATATATTTTATTTCTATTATATATAATATATAGAAATTTTTAAGCTTTAATTATTTATAATTTTATTATAAATAATCTTTTTTTTTTAAAATCTAAGCTTATTATATTGCTTTTTAAATAAATTTTTTAGCTTATTGCTATTTATATTAATATTTCTTTCTAATTTCTTATTTATTATATTAATTGCAAACTTTATTATTTATATGAATAATATAATTAATTGTTTAATATTGTTATTATTTTGTTTTATTATTAATATAGTTTTGAAAGCTGTTTGCTAATAACTTAATATATATATTATTATATCTTATTTCAAGAACTTCTCTGAATCTAATACTAGATTCTTTAATAATTTGAATAATTTATTTCTATTCTTATATTAGAAACTATTT